AGTGCGCGGGACGAAGTAGCAATACACGCGAAATAGAAAGGAATTCAAGCATAGGCTAGCTACACCGGGTACTCAACTTTGTAATTAACTGAGCGAAACTGAATACGAAAAGATGTACAACACTTCATGTAAAGCCGAGAGGCGGCGTTTCGCTGGGTTCATAGGGTTCACCCATCTCGCAAGGAGTCGTTTAGCTTTGTCTTTCGGTGTGAACCCAAGTAGGTATACAAGTCCTGGTACTTTAGCATCTTCTTAATAATCTACTCAGAATTTTGTGATTTAGTTTTATTATTGTTATGTTTACTGTGGAACTCAGTGGCTTAATTTTATAAATAAGTAAGCACGTATTTATCGAAGAAAATCTGTTGAGTTTTATGTCGAAGAAAAACTCGTTTCGCTACTGGTGTAGTCTGCACTTTATGACCGGTTCATTCCAGTAGCATTCTAGTCCAGCAATTGAATCTAGCGCTGGAATGCTACTGGAATAATCTGAATTCGCACTAGAATGTGTCCATTCCAATCCAGTCCAGTGAGTGGAATTACGGTCTGCTTTTCATTCCAGCCCACACATGCCAGTGCCACTGGAATAGTGTAGACTGCCATTCCAGTACTGGATTGTATGTTTGACAGTGTAAATTTTTGAACTGCTTTTTTGTAATGGTTGGGAGTTGGATTGAACAGTAGACCGTTAATCCAGTTACTGGACTGGATTACTCACTGGAATGAGAACATTCCAGTATCAGTTCACATTATTCCAGTAGCATTCCAGTCGAGCGATTGAATCCAGCGCTAGAGCTAGGAATAATGTGAATTAGTAATGGCCAATGGCCGTCGAAGAACGCATCGATCATCAGCAGACATTACGTTACACCGAAATGCTCTACTCTTTAGAAGTGAGTGCAAGTCGTGGCGAACTAAACGAAGTGTAAGTATATGTTTGTTGGAATTTTCCTCTTTTTACTAAACTACAAGTTGCGCATAGCTGCGTTAGTTGCTAACTTCGCTACCACTACAGTGTTTGAAAATCACGTGGCATTTGCAAAATCTCGATTTAAGTAAAACTAAATTCAACCCGATTTAAAAACGTCAAAATGTTTTTTTTGTTTCTTAGGTTTTCACGCACATCACTCATTAAATAAAACAAGTTTCAACGGGTTAGATGCACTGATTTTTTTTATGTATAATAATGATGTTTCATTTAGTTTGTCGAGCTACCTTCGAAAGACTTTACGAAATGTCAATAAATAATTAAAATCAGGGCTAGATGCCTGTTGAAACTTGTTTTATATTAATGTTCATTGGCAATTCTTGTAAATTATTAGTTTATGTTAAATCGAGATTAGCAAAATTGGTGGATCTAAATCGTGACCAATAATGAATTTAAAAGTGTTTTCTACGCTATATTAGCATAGGGTACCTCGATCTACCCAATTTAAGAAGTACCTACAGTAACAATGAACAAAGCTAATTGCTTCAACCAAGTTGCTTACCTAATTATGCATTGCGTAATTTGATGTTTATAATGCTACTAATGCTGTAAAGACTTAGTAGTCGGTTTAATCTAGGAATCACACGCAGTCCACCAACTCGCTACGCGCATTCTAATCTATCGAAAGTGTCTGCGACATAAGTCTTATGAAATGTACGGAAAATGTTTCAATCATTAAAGGCTAATTAGGTCCGACACAAATGGTCCATGCACTTCCAATAATATGATGACACTTAAAATCGCGTGTAAATTATTTGCCTTTACCTTTTTATTACAGCTAACAATTTTGCTCACAATTATCTATTTTGTGATTTCATCTTTAGTTCATCCCAATATTTTATAAAGTTGTTGAGTAGGAGACGACACCACGACGAAGTTCGCGTTGTATAGATTTTAAGCTTACCAGCCCCAGAACTCCACGGTGTTTTGTAATTGGACTCAGGCAATCAGTGATGTCGATTCTGGCATGATTCTCCAAATTTAAAAGTAAATTTAGTATCAGTCTTTCCTTTTTATTTGTTATAGAAAATGACAAGGACACACTGTTGTCAAATTAGTTTAGAGAGATCACACAAGTATCGACACCAATGTCTCTTTGGCATATCAACTATTTCCGCCACTGAGCTTCAACCATAGACTTGATAACAGGTGGTATAAATGTAACAATTTGTGGGATGCATAAAAATAGGATTAAGTACCTACTTATTTCGCTCTCTTTACATAAAAAAAAATCTCTGGACAAAAGTTCTAACGGTTCAGCGGCTTAGACGCGAAAGCGCAATGAACGAACAGACGGAATCGGCTAGAATTAATAGTATAGATGCAATAAATATTTTACAAATGATGTCAGAGTTTAACGAGTAGTGGTATGCATGAGCTCATGCAGTTACACCTCATTCGTGTAGCTAACGAACAGCACACATTCCCTATGCCTGTGTATTAGCATAACGGGTCGTCCAGTCGGTGCCAAGGTCGGTGATAGATACATTTTCTTAGATACACGTATTTAAATCGATGACTTGTCCTAGGATAGCACAGTAAGCCTTACTTTATCTGGTGACAATTTTTATTCAGCTGGAACTCAGCAACTAATCATTTTGCAAGAAAAAGTTTTATACAAAATTTGTAGAAAATTTCATGCTCTCCAACTTTAATTCAAACATGTTTTTCGTATCTCCAAAAATTATTGAGTTATTTTACAAAAACAAAAAATTTGGTTTTTTTACTTCAATATATCGGAAAATATCAACAATAGGGGGAAAATTTGGTATAAAAAAGATGGGAAATTTTGTTCTCTACAAAAAAGATCTCTTCGGTTTTTAACGTAAAACTTACCGTTTCCGAGATATATGCAAAAAAACGGTTTCCAAGATGGCGGCTAACGCTCGCAGTTTCGGGCGACAGAAACTCGGTTTTATACTTGGGGGGCACCCTCCGACATAATCCAATCGAAAAATAACGTAGAAGGATTTTATGCAGAGCGGACATCTAAAAATCTTGGACTATATACCTATAGTCTTCTTCCCTTTAAATATCACAGTTCGTTCAAATTCGTTTAGCGTATTTTATTTCCCTTTCGGATTACTTAAAACGGTAGACAAAAATGTTACCTACATGATATAGTTTAAAAATATCCGTTGGCAATCCAAAGCGATGAAGAGTCTAATGGTTCGACAAAGAATTGTCTACTGTTGTTGTGCATTGGGCGAGCGCGATTGCTCCTTCCAAACGCCGCAAAAATAACTACGAGCGATCCGCCAGCGTGGCCTGCATGTAGTGTGAGAAAAATCTTCCTAAATCAGTTTCAACATTTTATATGAACTACATATAAAATGTTGAAACTGATTTAGGAAGATTTTTGTTATGCAATTCGTTGCGGTGCGGCCAGCTATTAGGCTTTAATCGAAATAATATGATTATCAAATATGAAATTCTATGTACTAGGAGTAAAAGAAGAACATACAATGCTCTAGCTACAAATTTATCTGAGCAGATAGGAAAATATTTATTTATTTTATTTATTTATATCAAATACTTATATCTATTATTACAGGTATATACCCAAGGCAATAGATACATCCATTTAAGAAATCCATTATAATACACATTTACAAACACATTGGAAAAAATAATTAATTGCAACCGATAATAATCCACTCAGCTAGTTTTGTAAATTCGCTCAGAGCACAAACGAATAAGTCCATCTTTTCATTAATTTTGTTGATTGTGCGCAATGCACGCGTCAGTGGAGCCTCACTCAATAATTTAGTGCGTCCAGTAGGAATTACCAACAGGCCCGGCCGCCGCCGACGCCAAATGTATTCATTTGGAACACTAAAACTAATCATCCCTAGTATGCCCGGATTAAATATCTTACCCCGAAGCACCTTAAAAATATAAATAACTAGCTTCAATTCTCTCCGAACCCTAAGCTGACTATATCCAACCATACCAAGAACAAATAATGTAGGATATTGTAATGGATAAAAGGGATACACTCCATATAGTTTTAAATACATGTATCTTACAAATTTATTCTGCACTCTCTCTAGCATAATATTATACTTTTGTTCGTGGGGAGCCCAAATCATAGCGTTACATTCTAGATGACTCCTAACTAATGTATTATACAAAGCGACGATGGCCTGTACATTCGTAAATTCCTTTACAGTTCGCAAGATGAAACCTAAAGTTTTAAAAGCATTTTTACAAACGTCAACGACGTGATCTCGAAATAATAAGTCTGCTGTGAATTTCACTCCTAAGTCCCTAACTTCTGTTACCCTTTTTAAAGGTGTGCCATCAATTTTATATTCGTGATCTATTGGCGTGGCACATTTTACAATTTGAAGTGCCTTACAGTAGTCGCATATGATGTGTAACATGAAACCTCACCTTATATTTGTAAAAAATAAATAAAACCTACTACAAAAGGAATAAGCCACTTGAACATTGTTCTAAAATCAAATCAAATAGCGCGCGCTTCCGCGACTTCCTGTTACACACTTCCGTCCCATTTCACTGCAGGCAAATTGCAGGAAAGGGTGAGGAAAGATGTTACACATAAAAAAAAATATTAGACACCTCAGTATCATTTTTGAAGACCTATCCATAGTATGTTTGACAAAAAAAAAATTTAAGTTTCAGTTCTAAGTATGGGGAACCCCCAAAAATTATTGTTTTATTTCTTCTATTTTTGTGTGAAAATCTTAATGCGGTTCACAGAATATAAACCTACCAAGTTTCAACAGTTCTTATTGTTTCGGAAAAAAGTGTGTGTGACATACGGACGGACATGACGAATCTATAAGGGTTCCGTTTTTTGCCATTTGGCTACGAGACCCTAAAAAGGGTGTATATATTATTGAAAAGCGTCTTTTTTGTAACTTTTATAAGCTTTTATGGTCCTTGACATTAAGGTTACAAGGTGCTTACATAGTAGCAATTCTGCTTCTAACTACAACTATGGAAAACTGCCTGGTATAACAAAGAAGAGAACTAAAATACTAAATTCGATTGGAAAAATATATATTACTTAAACTTTCACATACATAAATAATTCTATCCGAGAGTGATCATGTTGTCAGTTGTCTCCGCATGGAGCTGATGGTTGCTTGTGGTGGTAGCCGGGAGGACATGGTGTGGTCCCACCAGGCTGTATTGAAGTGAGCATCCGTTCTCTACAGTAGCACCCGTGTATACGATGCAGTCTTGCAGCGTACAACTATTGGCAAAACAAGACAATATAAACCATTTTGAAAGAAAATTGAACTACAACAAATTGTCATAGGAACTTGTTCTAATTCCATCTAGTTTTTGAAAGAATTTTCAAACAGGAGGTCCGAAAACTTATATCCTAATATTAAATGATATAGTGTAGTAATACTTTAAATTGTTATGAATTTGTACCTATCAAGAATAGGAGAAATGCCTTAAGGGCCTTTTTCTTTCAATGCTTTCAAGTAAATTTTTTATATAGTAACTACTTTTTTGTACTTATTTTTAAATTACAGAAAATTTACTCCCTTGTCTTTATTTAATCTGGTAATTTTTGTGCGAGAGACAACAAAGTCTGAGAACTAAATGCCTTTAAGATAAGGGTATTGCTCACACACTGCAAAATGAATGAAAAGTAGTAGGGAAAAACAATTTTTTTTTCTTTAAATAGTCATATGTTGTAACTACGTACCCTTCTTTGATTGTGACATTGTTCATCAATATACAATTGGTTAATCTGACTTTGTTTTCAATATTGCAATTGGCACCTATGAAAGTATTTTTGATTGAAGTTTTTTCACTAATAATACTCTTGTATCCCACTGTACTATTTTCATCTATTTGTTTTGTCTTCACATCACTATCTGGATGAAATCGATCAACAAGAGGAGACCCAACTAATTCCTCCCATTTAGAGAGTATCTGGAATATAAAAATTACACCATTTAATATTTTAAAAAAACCCATAATGAACAGAAATGAAGCTTTGTATGAAGTGTACACATACAGTGTAAAATTTTAGACTTTCCAAGTACAACACTGAATAATAAAACAATATTATTATGGATGGACTTCAAAATAGACAATTCATATATTACAAAATAATTATTTGCAAGAGAGTTGAGACCTCAAAGTTTTCCTAGTATTACAATCCTTGAAATAACAACATTTATAAGTATTGAAAATAGATTTCTTTAATGTTGATAATGAATTTGAAAATGAAAAAAATTCAATAATTGAAGTTTTAGTAGGTATTTAAAAATCATAATTAAATTGGTATATAAGAATTTAACATCAATAGTTTACAAAGCATAATTGGTGTAGAAAGCCTAATAAAAAACTCAGAAATACTTACTTTGTTATTTGAAAGATAAAATGATGATAGTGTATTAACTCTGATACCAAATGTATTTTTATCTGATATATGTGCATAGCATCTAATAATATCATTATAATTAGAACTACTACAAAGTTGTTCACTGTAGGAACTCATTTCTCTTATTTTACTTTCATAACCATTTTCTATTGCAAAATCGAAAATATTATTTGTAATATCAGCATTTTTTTCCGACATTCCCTTTTTTTCATCAGCAGTTTTAGGCTTAGACAGCTGTTTCTTAATTATGTGCGGTACTAGTTCACCTTTTACAGAAGTAAACTTATCAGACTCCACAAGATATTTCAACACCCAGTGTTTCATAACATATACATGGGCATCTAGTAATCTACTATACATACTTATTGAATCAAACTTTTTCAATAGTAATCTAGGTATTGTAACATTTTCTTCAAAATCACTGGCACTGGCCAAGAATACCAATCTTTGTGTTTCTTTATCAATACAGACCAAGTCCCTATCAGGTTTAACTTTACTTTTGATTCCAGGGAGTTCAATCCACTCTTCAGGACCGTTATCGAAGAATAAGGTAGTTAGTGCTGCATCATGTTTTCTGTGCAGATTTAGTACTTCATTGAGGTTTATACTAGTTATTAAATCTCCAGATACAACCAAGAAGTCAGTGCTGACAAAATTGCTGATGTGTTTGAGTGAGTTGACAGTGCCCCAGTCCTCTTCAGAAGGTATTACTATCAATTCATATTTAATTTTTAAAGGACATTTTTCCAATGCACTCAATATATTTGACTTATCTTCATCAAGCACAACAACCATAGTTTCTGAAATTCATATAAAGTATACATTAAATAGGTGCCATTAATATAGAATTGTGAGAAATGGATTTTATATAATTTCGGTAAAAGTACAATATTTTGCTTACCTTGCAATCCAAGTTTCTGTAGCATATTCAGAGAGTACCACAGAACTGGATAAGGCCCAACTGGTAGTAGACATTTCGATACAGAACCACCTACGTCTGGCAGTCGAGACCCTCTACCTGCTGCTAACACAACAGCTTGAAATTCAAGAATTTTATGCATTTTTAGCCTTCCCTAGTAAACCTGTTGGCAAGTTATAAGTATGAGGTTAGAAGTATTAAAGCTTGAATGTTTGCGTTATCTTCTAGTTAGTTTTAGTTGGTGTACACGTTTTATGACGTTTTTAGATTTTTGTACTTACAAGTAGGATGTAAACAAGCAATGTTTCATTTATAATTTATGTTATAGCAGTAAGTCAATGTTGTCAAGTGCAATTATTTCAAGAGACAAAATATTGCATCAGTTTCAATTAGATTCGCTAGTAGCGATTAATTGGTTTTAATTCATACAAATGTATGGTTGTTTGCGAATTGATGGCAAATAGAATAAAACAAAAACTTACATGGAACAGCCTGGGTGCCTCACTCAGTCACTCACTTTTTTTTGACATTCTCGGTTTTCAGAGAAGACAAAGGGAACAATTCCCATACAGCCTATTCTAAATTTTATTAATCGTTTAAGTACCTTAGAATGTCAGTGCGACTCATTTCATTCTAATGTTTCTTGGAGTGTTTGGCACGAAATGGATCAAGTCAGATGTTTCGATAAGCTTCTGTGAGGTAGACACCACTACAATAAAGGTCTCACGTTCGCCTGACCGGAATAGCGTATATTTTAAAGATTCCACCAATTCTTCATTTGCGCAGACGGTTGTACACAAAATTACACCAATTTTATTTCACATTATCCACTATGAACGAATTTAAGAATAATTAAAATAAGACGTCAACCGTCAAATCATCGCGCCAAAAACTCTAGCTCTTCTTCTTCTTTCTTTTTACGGAAACTCTCACTCACTGTTTTTATTTTGATGTTTAATTTTCTTGCTTATTATTCATTTTTATAATGGAAGGCAAAGACTGCCTATACCACAATAATGATTTTTACTTTGTTTTACAAAGTATCATTTTCATTAATACTATACGTTTCTATATTCGTTTCAGTACTGGGCACTGAGCAAGTAACCTATTGGGCATATCCTAACTGTAATATCGGCACTTCACTTGGCTATTCGTAATATTAGTATTTGCTGTTTGTAAACTTGTCTGTCACTATCGTGCTTTATATGGAATGAAAAGGACAGGCTGATGTCAAGTTTATAAATAGAAAACACGAATAACCCAGTGAAGTGCCGGCATTTGGCATTCTATAAATGCCATAGACATAGTTTCAAATGGGCGGAGCTAGAAGTTTGTAGAGGTGTAAAAGTAACGAAAAAAAGCGTACCCGTATGTATTCGTTACTTTAACAATAAGTACTCGTTACTATAGTATCGTTACGCTACTCGTTACTTCTCATAAAAAATCGGTTTTACTATTTTGAAATTTTTAACCGTGAGCTTATGTTATATCACAATAACATCGCAATCCATTATTCATCAATTATAATGATAAAGCAACAAATAGGTGTCGAAAATTATTGTATTGATAATAATACTTAAATAGCATTCTAACGATGAATCAACTTAAAAATAGTTTTGCTTAGAATGAAATTAAACATAACGAAAGAAAAAACTACTACAAAAATCTTTTGTTCTCAAAATAAAATTATAAAAACTATATAAAATTACGAAATCTATCAAGTTGGCTTTTTCGATAAGCTTCTGTGAGGTAGTCAACACGACAATAAAGTTCTCACGTCCATTTGACCGGAATAGCGTATATTTTAAAAATCCCACTAATTCCTCTGTTACGCAGACGGTTGTAACACAAAATCACACCAATTTTATTTCACAATATCCACTATGAACGAATTTAAGAATAATTAAAATAAGACGCCAACCTCACTCGATGAAATCCCTCCAAAAACTTCAACGTAGGTTTTTAAATTCTCCAAATATGCTCGCACATGCTTAATACATACGATCAGCAAATGCTTCTATACACACATCAACTGTACTTGCGTAAACTGAAACATATAGATCATCTGCTTCATACTACGAAAAATGCGAGGAACGAAATTTATTTGTGTGTAACGTTTCGTTACTCGGTACTAGATGGCGTACCCGTTACTCAGTACCGAATACATACGGTTTGCTACAGCTCTAGAAGTTTGACAACCTGAAGGACGGATGGAACTGTTTTTCATGCATCTTTGTCTAACCTGTAGAGTTAACCTATGAGTGAAAGAGCAGTTGCCGCAGATGACGTAAGTTTGACCCTTAGAGCTTAAACCCATGGAGATGGCATAGGCGGGCGAACCCCTGCGGCAAAGTACGTGCCCATCGGACCGTGTATATATGCGTTATATAAAATTAGTTTACGCGCGATCGCAACCATTTTGAATCGTTCCATATCTCGAGTCACAGCTCCCGCAATTGAAAATCATGTTGTTTTCCCACGCAAAAACCAATCTGCCACTTCAATCCTGCTGAAATGTGGTGTTTCCTATCATATACAAGTTCTAAAAAGTTAGTAATCTGGTATAAAGTTCAATTAAAAGGCACGAAATGACGAATGAATGACAAAAATAATAGATAGAAATTCATAGTGAGGTGACGAGAATGAATGAATGGTATTTTTAATACTGGAAAACGTTAAACCAGATTTAATTAAGTGCATCTGCCGATACAAATAGCATGTTGATTAAACAAATATATATCGACAAAATTTATTAAAACAAGCGAGTGTGCTTATGACCACACCAATGATCTGAAAATCAACTTAATATAAAGATTTGTTGATAGAAAAAGACCACCAATCCACCCTGGGACCGTTATCATCCACCAATCCGCGCTGGGTACGTTAACACCCACCAATCTGCACTGGGTCCGTTATCACCCACCAATCCGCACTGGGTCCATTATCACCCACCAATCCGCGCTGGGTCCGTTATCATCAACCAATCCGCACTAGGTCCCTAGGTCCGTTATCACCCACCAATCCACGCTGGATCAATTGTTATCCATCAATCCGCGCTGGGTCCATTATCACCCACCAATCCGCACGGGGTCCATTGTCACCCACCAATCTGCGCTAAGTCCGTTATCACCCACCAATCTGCACTGGGTCCGTTATCACCCACCCATCCGCGCTGGGTCTGTTATCATCCACCAATCCGCACTAGGTCCGTTATCACCCACCAATCCGCGCTGGATCCATTGTCATACACCAATCCGCGCTGGGTCCATCATCACCCACCAATCCGCACGGGGTCCATTGTCACCCACCAATCTGCGTTAAGTCCGTTATCACCCACAATTCAAATGCACTTTTTATACTAACAGTGTCAGAATTTCACGCATTCACACTATTTATACATGTATCATGTGTTATAAGAGAAGTTCGCTTTCTTTTTTCTCTATTTGGCGTACGCTACTAATACAATTTTTGTGAAAATTTATTATTTTTCATTTTATATAACTAAGGGTAAAATAAAAATCATCGAAATCGATCTCGATATATGCGCGAACACGACTAACGACGATTATTGACAAAGATTTTTTTTAACCTTTTAGAAGCCAACAATCGAAAATAGCACCGACTTACAAGGTATGGCATGCTAGGAGCAATTATTATTTGCTCCTAGCTGGAATGCCAGCCAGTTTTCCGTAGATTGACGGTATAGTAGCAAAGTCCTTATTAATGCTAGGTATTTACTTATTTCAAATGCCGCAGTTGAAGTTGGGATTCCCTTTTCCCATCAAGGGTTCCTTTGGGCGTGCACAGAATTCAAAAAGCATCAAAATTGACTCTGAAAACCTTATCTCTTTTGGGCGTGCCAAAAAAAACCTTGATGGGTATAGGGAATCCCCACTTCACCTAAAGCAGGTGAAATAGTATACCTAGCATTGCTACTAAACCGTAATTATGCGAAACGCTGGCTCTTAGAATATAATGCATTTCAGCTAAATGCAAATCTCAATTTCAAATACAGGCATTCCACATAAAATGCCTAAATTTTAATTCTGTAACTCATTCCGTTTAAGATCTTTATATATATAATTCTTCTGTGAGTGTGTATGTCACTGAACTTCTCTTAAACGACTGGACCGATTTTGATGAAATTTTTTGTGTGTGTTCAAGGGGATCTGAGAATGGTTTAGATTCACAATTTTGTCCGCTGTACAACCCCTATTTTTTTAGGGCGGTACGAAGTTCGCTGGGTCAGCTAGTATATATATAAACCCGTGGCATATGGATAAGGGTATGGCCGCAAAAATTGTACAAATAACATTCATGACATCGTAACACACGTTACGTACATGACAGAACGTTACATACATGACCATCATAAAGCTTAGTTCATAATAGAACCTATTATAGCAGTTCGACTGGTACTAAATAGTTCTAGGCCTGTGGTGGTGATATTATATTTTTTTGATTAACGTTTGGCTTTAGATTTTTTCTTCATATAATATTCTTTGGTTAGCCCATCTTCTTTGTAGTTTTCGTATGTTTCAGCACTAACACTTCAGTGATATTATAATTTTTCGCAGTATCTTTTGACTTCATTCTGCGACGATTTTGACTGGCTCGTGACTGTTTTCTTTTCAATCTTTTATTTTCTTCGGTACATTCCGTGGTTTTCTTTATTTTTTTCTGCATTTTTTGATTTTATTTCATCGTACTTCGAAAGATTTTTGGTTCGTAACTTTTCACAATATTTTGTTTGCCTTTCGGCATTGGTCAATGGCATCTGGAATATTTTTGACGTGACAACGTCTTAAATTAGGTTGCGGCTGGGAGTCACTTATGAAAAAGTGTAACGCTCGGTAACGTTACGATGAGTCTCTCGTGTTAAGTTTAAGTTTACATGTACAATGTTTTAGTAAACAAAATATATTTCTATAGTTAAAATTTGTGCAATTCTTATTTTCATTCAATTCCTTGTTCCTATTGTGCAATTTAATTATATTCATATCAATAAATATTCTACCGAGAAAAAGACGTTGTCACGTAAAATCTTCGCCCGTAAAACCGACTTTACAGGCAACCATTTTTTTTTAACTAATTTTATCCTACTAATATTATATATGTGAAAGTTTGTATGTTCGTTACTCAATAATATAGTATACACATATTATGTGTGCCAAATTTCATCAAAATCCATTCAGCCGTTTTTGCGTGATTGACTAACGAACATATAAACATTCAAAGGTTTTTAAAAAAAACAAAGTTAACTCAGACGAAGTCCTGGTAAGGTTATATTTATTTAGTGTAATCTCCGCCTTAGAATCGCTCATTATTGTAACGTTACACATTTCGTTACACATTGTAACATTCATGACACAAAAAAGCGTGCGACATAACCTAAAATTCAAATATCATTTAATTGCAAATAACTATGGATTGTGACGTAGGGTTACCGTTTTCTGTGATAATACATCTTTCTAAACACGTTAACAGTATACCACAACAAGCAGTACTTACCTTGCAATCAAACATACAAAAAACAATATTTTTTGGCGACAAATCTGAAGTCAACACTAATTACGATTTTTATCCTGAAAAATATGGCCAATTTTTATTTCTGAATGTTCGCGTCTTTTTTTTTTTTTTGGTTAAGTTCTCCCTTTACAGGGAAGGCAAGGGGAACAATGCCCATACAGCCTAGTCTTAAGTTAAATTATTCTGTTTTTCTTTTTACATTAGAATGTCGGTGTGACGCATTCTAATGTTTCTTGAAGTGTTTGGCACGAAATGAATCGAGCTGGCTTTTTCGATAAGCTTCTGTGAGGTAGTCAATACTACAATAAAATTCTCACGTCCACTTGACCGGAAAAGCGTATATTTTGACGATTCTACTAATTCTTCAGTTACGCAGACAGTTGTAACACAAAATCACACCAATTTTATTTCACAATATCCACTATGAACGAATTTAAGAATAATTAAAATAAGACGCCAACCGCACTCGATGAAATCCCGCCAAAAACTCTGTTGGCGTCTTGCTTAATAGTGTTGCAATTTATGAAAATAGCAAAAATTACCAAATCACATAAAGGAAACTGGTAGAAACAAACGTTACATTCATGACGTTACACACTCATCATAAAATTGGACACTTTTTTAAAAACGATTAAATATGTAACTGAAACGCTATTTTGATAAGCACGTTTAGAAACACATTGAGAAAGTATCATAAAGCATGAGTACAATTTAATAAAAAAAACTATTTTTTTCGGAATTATTGGCAATTTTTGATACAAAGGTTGTATATAATAATTGGTCAGTGCATTCGCCCGGATTGCGAAGGGTGCGGGTTCGAGTCCCGTCTGCTGCCTGGTCCGCGTGGAATTTTTTCTAGTTATATTTTCTTTAGATTTAAACATCAAGCAGTTACATGCTTTAAAAATAATAAAAATTATAACAAAGGTTGTAGTTTGGACAAACAATTTTTGTATGGGAGTGAAAGCAGTACTTTTTAAATTATATTTTTTTTACATATATTTTTTGGGATGGTAGTTAGGTTACATTTCGTCAAAATAATCTAAACAGAAGCTCGTCATTCAGAACAATGTTCAACAAATGACATTTATCAAATAACTTCGAAATTATGAGAAAAATAAAATGGGGACAAAACGAAAATGATATTTGTACAATTTTTTGCGACTATACCCATAAACAGTGTTGACATGTGCAAAGTTTTAATTTTTGCTACTGTCATGTCAATCCACTTTTTTATCACATAAGTTGATAGAATATCAAAGCCTACTGATTTAGTATTTTTTTTACTTTCTAAGACTTTGGCTACTTCAAGCGCACATTGAGCCACTAGTGACGGCTACTAAATGCGCCCACAAGCTGCATACATTTTGTATAGTATCGGCGTAAACTAAGCGTTTGAGTGGCTGCCACAGCCACTAAGTCGGCCTTCAGCCTCTGCGCCTCCTCTGCCGTATAGTAAGGGAGCCCAAACGGTGATATAAGGATTTACTCGAGCGTGGCAGAATAACATAAGGGTGGCAACCTTGCACCTTGTGAAGGACGTCCCAAACGTCTAGGGCAACAAAATATTTGGTTATGACTTTTTGGTCGCGTTCAAATCTTCAGTCTTTTAAACAACATAAACAAATAAAACATTATCTGAAAATAACATTTAATATGATAGGTACTAGTATATTGCAAATAATTCATCAAAATATTTTCATTTATATAATAATTATTAGTCGTCTTCAATCGGGGGTGGAGGTGTTGCAGACATTTCACTGGCTTCCTGCGTTCCAATCGGTTGCAGAGAGTCCGAAAATGTAGACATGCGGTAGTCAGGCGGAGTCATATCAGAACTTCGTTGATCTGCAGTAATAATTGGAGCTGGAAAAAGGGCAATAAATAAATTGAGTGTCTGTGAGTATAATTATTGGATGTAGCTATGAGGTTGTGATATAACAAGCGCCACGGATGGCCGGCCGCTCTCTAGACTTATTTAAATTCTTGAAATCGGTACAGCAAATTTAAAGTGCGAAGAAAGAAAACCGTAACGCATGCAATAGTTAGGTAAGTATTGAAAAATTAACAGCTTAGTCATAAAGCATTTGGCGAACTTTTGGAGGAAGGTAAATAAGCCAAATTCATTCTATGTGGGATAATTATCATCAGAACATTTATGACTTTATTATAATATATTATACAGAGTAGTTTTAGTGAAAAAAAACAGCACTCTGTTTTTAAAATCATTGTCATCATTAAATGTCTCCATGCTGGTGTTCTGGCCTTCTCTGAGGCGGATAGTGGGAACAGGTCGTGATTCAATAATTATTTCTGTCTTTTAGGGCTGTAAAATAACGTTATAAATAATGTAAGGAAAACTTTTATTTTAAAAAATCCGCTCGGTGCAGGTTTCCGTCAGGATATGAACCCGGACCTTCCGCCCGTCTGTATATTTATAAATCTTGTAATAAATAATTCTAAATAATGTTATTATGACCAAGTTGCTCATATTAAAGGCATTTTACAGCAAAGCATATTTTTGATTTTTAAATTAACCTTTTACTGCCATACCTGGTTCAGCCTCTTTCGATATTGGAAGTTTCTTTGGCTGATAGCAAGCCTTGCATGGCTTTATAACATGATCCACAAAGTAAGCCTGAAAGATACAACAACTGTCTTGAATGCTTTTCTGTAACAGCTTAATTTGAACGGAAACCAATGCTCTAAGCTAGTATACAAAGTATTCGCGAATAAAAAAGTGTGAGCTAATAGAATACAAAGTATTTGTTAGCATGAACGACGAATGACGTAGAGTTCTTATGATCTAAGTAAATTTCAGAAAATTAAATGAATTAGAGAACAGTCGGCAACACGTGTAAAGTTTGATTTGAGGTTTAAATTCATCGTATTATAATTAGGACCTCAATGCAATTGATAAATCTTACTAACCTTTCCATCAGTTCCAACCTCGGTATCTGCTTCTTGTGACAAAGGGTTTATTATCATACCAGGTGGGATACGACCTTTGGCGTTATTCAACATAGTATGTGAACCACCACAGAACCGACGACAGACATGAGACCTGTAATGAATTCACCTGTGTGTTCGAAGTGGCTTACTTAAAACTTCAATTTTCTTCGATCGATTGTGAAAAAGGGCACTTTAGTACATAAGCTACCTTTAATATTTTTTTTGTAAAATCAATAACACGATAAGATACAATACAACACTTTCTATAGAATAATTTGAAAAGGGAAGATTGAAACAATAATGTATTGTAAATTTATGGATAAAGCGTTTTACAATACCGTGGGTCGATTGGATGTGGTATTGGAAACCCAGGAAAGCAATAATCTTCATGATCCCCGTCTTCGCTTGGTTTAATGTTCGATTCAGCACCTATGGTTGTGGGTCGAGTAGGTGGGAAGGCTGGGAACGACGGTCCAATGTCATTTTCTTCTGTGTCCATGTGAGCTGGAGTATTACATGACAGGCATGCAGCATCACGATGTAGCTTTCTGGATACTGCTGCAGCTCGAGGTTCACCAACAATCTCTGTCATTGCTTTTATTTTGTTGTTAAACTTTTCTAAATATTTAGTAATGCTTTCTTGTAAGGACACCACTTGAAGCCAATCAGCCTTTTCATTCAGTTCTCTTAGAAGCTCGTCTATTGCTTTCTGTAAGTGAAACGGTACCTAGTCACTTTATATTCATCACTTTAGTAAGATACATAGTTATTAACTTTCTCTGAATAAAATTGTGTAACTGATTTTTGCTCATAGTTAAAATTACCTGCCATACTACTTCTTGACTATTGAACTTGTCATAAGCTGAACCGATACGTTTTTCGAAGTCGCCTCTCACAGCGTCAAACTCAGGCCGAGAAACTAAACCATTCAGGGCTGCAATTCCGGCTTTATCACGAAGTGCATCTGCCACTTCGTCGCGATCAGATTTTTGATCTCTTAGTATTTCGATTTGTTTCCATAAAGACTGTTAAAACAATTCTTTGTTAACAAGAAATGATTGCAGTAATCCATAATATAAAGTATACTATGGTTATATTATACTTTACTCTTGCCATCGTCGTTAATTTTATACCAAAAAGTATAAGTAAAAATTGGCCAAGTGCAAGTGCCTCCTATACTTTTAATTAAAACGTACGATGGCACGATTCAGAAGCTGTTGGTTCAGCGCGATTCAGTAACCGTTGATACAGCGCGATTCAGAAACAGTTGGAACATCGTCTTCGAGCGGCAGATTTGTGAAACTAATGATGAACGTTACCCCAAAGTCATTTCAAAAGACCAATTTAACGATACCCACCATGAGGTAGACGATGAAAAAAAATACATCCCCAAGTTACATGTTCTACTCTAAAAAAAATTACAGCTCTCTCGTGCCAACAGTTTCCTAGCAAAACCTCGGACGGACAGACAGACAAACGGACATGACGAAACTATAAGGGTTCCTGTCCGGAATACGGAACCCTAAAAATCAACTTGACCCAGGTATACCCAGACCTGTAAACAAGTTTGTTGTTATGTTGGTTCAGGTGAAGTAGTAGAGTCGTTTTTTTTAATCTAGAAGGGAAAATACAGTTTTATTCTTTCTAATGTTTATCGATGTGAAGAGAGAGAGAGAAGCAAGATATTCGAAAATAATAACAATCGAAGTCCATTATGATCTCGGATTCAGAAGCAGTCTCTATAGACGGAAATTCGAAGGCTGTTGTTGGTTGCTTGATCTGTAGGCCTATTCGCTTACTGCTTTTGACAGATGGAAGTGATAATCACAGAGCTATTTAGCGATCCTCTACTACTTTATTATAACGCCACTTAGACACTTGTTCTGAAAAGCATCGATGAAAATGCAATTTTCTTTTTAGTTCCACACTGTAAGCCCAAGCGTGCACTGGCAGCCAGCAATTTCAAAAGTTAGCGATCAGGCTGGCTGGTCAAAGTAGAATTATTTTTAGTAAAGATTTGCTTCAGTAAGAATGAAAAGATTGGAAAACCACCTTGAGGTCTATGGCCATAGTGTCTTGAATATCGCTTAGTTCTTTTTGCCTCATTGCCGCAAAATCGAATTCCACTTGAAGGTTTGAGAAGTTACTATTCAGTTCAGCAACAGCTGTTTATAAAACACTGGATTACTCGAGTTATTCAAAAGGAGTAAGTATAAGTAATAGTAAAAATATCTTAATAAATAAGTACATTTTATAGTGTTCGGAAAAAAAATGTAATGTGAAAAATAATATGTGTATGTGGAAAAATACTTTACTTATATTTTGTAACATATTGACGCCCTCGGGGAATAATCAGAATATGTACCATTACTGATGTTTTATTGTATTCTATAGTTATATTAGTAGGCGTACGGTTGTCTGATTTTTTTTATTAGAATTTATTGAAATATTCTCATGAATATACGAACTTCAGTACAGATAACCATTAATTATTCTCAATTCAATTCATGTATCAATTGTTTTGAAATTACTTTTTCGAGACACTTGCTCAAAAAATGCATTTACGGAGTACATGTCACATGGTATTATTTTTTATTATAGTTATTACAGTTTCGTCGTATTTTTTACAGTTTCTTTTTTAGATTTCGGTCGAATCTCACTAACCTAAGCGGCGCTGCGGGTTAGAATGAGAGAAGATGTAAATCTACATCACAAAGTTGTTAAACTACATTTAGTTAAGCACAGGAGATTGGTAGGTGAAAAGGGATTTGGAAGGTGTGAAGGGGTTTGACGCTGAAAAGGGATTGGAGGATGAAAAAGGGATTTGAGAGTGGACAGGGAATGGAGGGTGAGAAGGGATTGGAGGATGAAAAAGGGATTTTAGAGTGAAAAGGGAATGGAGGGTGAGAAGGGAATGGAGGGTAAAAGGGATTGAAGGTTGAAAAGGAATAGAGGGTGTAAAGGGGATTCGAGGGGTGAAAAGGAATTCGAGGGTGAAAAGGGGATTAGATGATGAAAAAGGACTCCATGATAAAACGAGGGATTGGAGGGTGAAAGGGGCTCGAGGGTGATGAAGGGATTTGTGGGTGATAATAAGGGATTGGTGGGTGACGGTGGGGATTGATGGGTGATAAGAAGGGTTTGGTGGGTGAAAAGGGGATTGGGGCCTGAAAGAGGGGATTGGAGGGTGAAAGAGATTAGAGGGTGATAAGGGGATTGGTGGGTGATAATAGGGGATTAGTGGGTGATAGTGGGGATTTGAGGGTGAAAAGAGGATTGGAGGGTGTAAAGGGAATTCCAGGGTGAAAAGGGATTCGAAGGTGAAAAGGGGATTGGGGGTGATAGGGGGGATTGAAGTGTGATAATAGGGGATTGGTAGAAATAGGAACTGTTTTCTCGCAAATATGTTGAAAAACATTGTATGATATTCGTGCGGTATTTGATATTTACAAACTCGTGACTATGGTAAGCAATTCAATCGTCTACTCATTTGTAATAACCAACCTACGGCACTTGTATCATAGATAACTATTACCTACTTGTCTAGTTATAGGTACCGCAAAACACAATAATTTTTCCTGTGAAGTTTTACTTTTTCGATTACCGGATTATACCACGGAGGCGTCGATATGGATTAACAAAAAAGTAATATAAATTAGTGGTAAATCGGAAAAAACGCTTCATTGTGAAATAAAACTGTTTGGTAAATAAAAATGACCAGTGATTCTATTGGCGATAAGGGATGACTGGATCGTGAAAATGATACTATTTACCAGCAGTATCTCCACCAGTGTTAGCTAATGCTTCTTGCATTGTTTCTATACCAGCTTCTAGGTCATGCTGCATCTGTGTTAATTGCTCTTGGTAGTTTGTCATCTGAAAATGTCTCGTTAATATGTAAATATTTATCGATAGTGCGAATCTCAGTATCACAATCAATTTACGGAAACTAAATTAAATGGGCTAGTCAACCAAATCTAATTTGTTAACAAATAGACATTAATCTCTTCGATAGTTATACGGATCTGGATGAAATTTGGCACACATATACAGTAGTACCGCGGTATTCGACAACCGTTTTGCAGTGCGATGTCGGATTATCGAATTTGTCGGAGAGTACTGTCTTGAGAGGGTGGTCTTACCACCCTTTATAGTCCGGAATATTTGGAATAAGAGTACGTTGTAATCCGACAAATTACAAAACTAAAATCTGTTTCAATTAATTTTATGTGCCAATCAACAGTGATAAGCGTGTCGTATTACAGGGGGCGGCGGATTAGACGGGGTCCGGATTGCCGCGCGTTTATGGTAGTTAATTACCTGGATTGCGACAAAGGACACTTTTTTCCTAAAAATGTATGGAATAAAAATAAGTTAACGCGGACGAAGTCGCGGGTGGAAGCTTATAATGGCTAACCATATAATTATTATCATTTCATGTTTTATTTCAAACTGATGAATATATTTAGCTAAATTGTGATGTTTGCGAAAACAACCGGTTCCTAGGTTTTTTTCAAACTTCTGTATCTAACAGCTAAAAATATATTTGTTTCTTAGGTTTTCCCGCATATCACTCATTAAATAAAACTAGTTTTTACGGGTTAATGCACGAAACTTTATTTATTTATTGACGTTTCGTAGCTACCTTCGAAAGAAGCTCGACAAATTAAATAAAAGTTTTATTCTGAAGACGAAGCCTGTAAAGGCTACGAAACGTCAATAAATAAATAAAGTTTCGTGCATTAACCCGTAAAAACTAGCTAAAAATATATCAAAAGTATCCAAACTGTGAGTGAAATACCTGAGCAGATATTCCTGTGTCAAGTGTATTGATATGTTCAGCATAATCGGATACAAGTATTTCTAGATCGTTCATTCGATCTCCTAAATCAAGGGATTCATCCAATTTGGATTCTGGAAATGAATTATTTCAAAGTTAAGTCTGCTCACTCATTGTATGATTAAAAATAATGGCACGTCAAAAATTAACATGAAATTTACCCAATCTAGTTGCTATTTTTAAAGCATTGTTAGCGTTAATATTGCTCTTAGTCATGTTAGTCGTGATTATTTTTAAAAATTCATCATGAAGTTCTTGCATTACATTGCTGTAAAAATAATGCATCTGAGTGATAAATTTGAAGATATAACATTTTTTATTTTGACTTGTTTTTGTACACACTGTTACTGAGGTGACCATAATAAATCAGAGTATGAGGGTAACTTAAAAAATTATGACTGTGATTAATATAAAGTTTTGGCAAAGCTCATTTTTTTATATATAAATAGGACTTCATCAAAATTTTGCTAAGTCCCGTGACACACAATCTTACGGATAAAGTTACAAAAGTTTTTATATCTGGTTTTTTTATTGAAATCTCACGGTCTCGAATTCAATAAACTTACTCTAATTCTTCAGCAGTTATCCAATCTGTCTTGTCTTTTTCTAATGTTTCAGTTCCTAGTCCTAGCGTTTCATTTTGGACCCTTGAAGCCGTTGTTGCCGCCGTTGAATCTACTAACGATTTTTTAGATTTTGCAGATGTAGTTCTTTTTTTCGTCACAGTTGAAATGTGAGGAACTGCTTCATCTGCCTCAAAAATTACTTCAGTCTTGGTTTCCACGCCTTTTCCTGCTTTCGATAGCTATACGTAATTTGTTAATTTAAAGAAATTAAGAAAATATTTTATAAAGAGATACTTAACTGCTGATTTTACCGTTTCAGTTTTTGCTTGTGGCTTTATTGTTGTAGTATTACTGGCAAGATCGGTTACTAGAGAAATCATTTTTTCTAAAGTTTTTTCTGCAGCTTCTAAGCGAGCGGATAGTTGTAAAGCTGCCATTGCATCAGTTAATGAAGCGCCCTTACGGAGCTCATTTAAAAGTTGGGCATTATTAGGAAAATCAACATTGCCAGCTGGAATATATTGTTCTTGCAAACGTTTGACCGCTACGGCAAGCTCAGCAAACTCTTCTTGTGTCACCACTGACAGACGCCGAAGTTTGCTGCGACCTGAAATAATATAAATACGAATTACGTGCTACCAATCTTTAGGGTTTCCGTAAAGTTTACTTACCATCTGTCAGCTTGGCTTGATCTGTAGGCACTCGTTCAACTATAAAAACAAAAATATTCTAAATAATCACCAAAGCGATTTTATATAAATGTATTTTATTTTTGGCCTTTAGTTACCTACGAGTAATTTTTCATACTGTTTTTCTGTAAAATGCAATAAAAATTGATTAACTTATATATTATAAGTAATAATATCATGAAATCTCATTTTTTTATAAAATTTAGATTGATGCTATTAATTCACCCATGGAATCCATGGAAGCTATTGGCGTTGGCTGATTTTTATGTTCTTCCCGAGAATCGGCTCTCTGAAATACAAGAGTTTATTAAATTATTTATTTACCAAGTTACGAACATGAGATATTTTGGACCCAAAGTAAAATTTAAATTGCTTTACGCTACACTAGTATTTTTAAGCTAGAATTACAAATATGTTTTTACCATATCAGGTCAATACAGCACTATTGTGGTATTTCAGAATTAATGGATCTACTTTAGGTATTATTAGGTACATTAAGGTTCTGTCCGACGATCTGTGTTGTCGCAGTCGAGGCCGCGCCGTGCAGGGTTGCCAATGAGAACTCTAACTTTCAAGATTTAGCAGTCTCTGTACATGATACGAAGTAAATAGAAATCTCGTACACTTTGATATGAGATTTAAATAATGTTGACTGTTTGTGTCATGTAAACAAATCAAAAATATTACATTACATGCCTAATAAAAAATAAATGTTATAAACACAGTTTTATTTTATTTGTATAACACTTGTTACTCGTCCCGGCTTCAAAGGCAAAAATCTTCTTCCAATATAAAACCAAATGGCTTATGTATGGCGGATAGTCACATAAAATGAGCATGATAGTATTTTTGCTGCATTCAAATAGTTTCTATAGGTAAGTTGTATCAGTATGAATCAGATTATATTGTTGAATTATTGCAATGTAACTTAATGAAACGTTACATTATACTGACTCAGGCCTTATAAATATTAAGATGCAGTCATAGTCAAATGTAAAATAAAACACTTACCTGACCGTAGTGTAAGATGCAATAAAAACAGGGAAGTATAACCAGGTAGGAGAGTTTTTATCACCTAGATATAAAAAAGAAAAAAAAGCGAATAAAAATGGTATAGAGTCCATCACTATTGCACCTGATGGATGACGCGTAGCTCCCTTTCTCTCTGCTCTTCAATCTTGTCCAGCAGTGTTAGATATTTCTGTGGAAAACCCTGATTGAAGCTATGTTAGGAATAAATATTCTTGGAGCAAACACAAATACACAAAAGATAAAAATAACTAAAACATGCTTACCGTTCCTGATGCAGACTTTAAAGGCTTTTGGGATTCACTAGAAACTTGTTTACTAGATGATGTTTTTGTTTTGTCTGAAGTTGATTGTTCAGTTGATGTTTTACCAGATGAAGATTTTCCAGTGGATGTTCTATCTGAGGGGGATTTACTTCCACCTCCTTTCGGTACTGCTAGCTTTTGTTTTTTCTTTTTTGGCACATTTGCAACCATTTTAACTTCCGTAATATTTAAACTGGTCGCCGAAACAGTTTCTGGTAAAGGACCAATCTCAACTTCAACGTGTCTTTCTAAAAGGCGAATTTGTCTTGCAAGAATTATTAATATTGCGTGAACGAGTTTATGATTAACCACATTGTGCTGGAAAAATTAAGAATTTGTAAAAGTAAGGATTAAGGAAATTATTAATATGAGAAACTAAGTTTTTTGAAATTAATTATTAGATTATATTTTTCTGTTTTAATCGTAGGAAATAACATGTTACACGTAGATAACCATATTATTAAGATGTAAATTTAGGCCCATAACAATTTTACTGCAAGTTTATTACTAATAATAATTTATTACTAATTTATTTCAGCACTTATAACTTACACAAGGGTCTCCAAACGCTGTATCAATCATCTGTTTGATGCTCATTAAAGTTGTAGAAATTTCCATTTTGAATCTGGTAAGTTTAAAGTGAATTTCAGTAGTTTAATAAGAAATTTCAAGGAAATTTTATATATATATATATATATATATATATATATTTGTAGATGACAAGAATCTGACAATACAGATCTAGTAGGTTTCGAGCTTTGGAGCTCGTCAAAGTGCTTACTTTCTCTATGGAGTTTGTTTCGATGACTTTTGAGTTTCGATTGAATTTGCACTTGCCGTTTATACCGTATTAAAATAATGAGACCTCCCCCATAGGTGCGTTATTATCGGTCGCTCATACCGTATGTAGTATTGTAATAAATATTTTTAGTACATTATGTATAAGGCCGGCTATTTACACTGCTGCAATAATGACGAAGCAATAGATTTATCTCGAAATATCGCAATAACGCATCCGATGTAACCGACCGATAATAACGCGCCAATGGGCGGCAGGCTTAACATTTGAGGGCATTTATGTAAAAGGAATTTCCTGTTTTACATTGTCTTTGGTAACACCTGATAACACCTCCACAACACCACAGAACAATAACACATTCTGTAAACATTCGTTTGCAGCGCGCACCATGTTGAAAAAAGAACTTTCGTTAGATCAACTGTCACTTTTTACTTGCATACGTATCTCTGCATTTTATTTAAAAATAAATAAAAATGCGTCACAAAACCTGCTGCGTCCTATAACACCCGGTTAGGGTTTATAATGTTTTTTTTTAATTATTACTTTGGATGTTTTATTGTTGGCAATAAGCTAACTGTTTCAGAATCTTTAATAAAGGTTTTAAAGCATGGGTGTAGAATAAAGTATTAATAAATATATGGAAAAATATCTAAAATAAAGGACCAGTGCGTTCTACCCGTGATGACTAATGGAGCCGAGAAGTGGCCACTGTAACGGTAAAACTGTCTTTCAGCGAGCTTTTGAAAGAGTATGCTGGGTATTTCTCTGAAGGACCGGATCCGGAACGCAGTGATTCGCCTTAGGATTAAAGTCACTGACATAGCTCAACGAGTTAGCAAAATAACGTAGCAGCGAGCTGGTCATTTATGCCGTAGTACAGATGACCGTTGGGGTAGAAAAGTTCTCGAGTGGAGACGAAATTCGACAAACGTCGTGCCCACATTACATACGCCCCAGCGTCCGGCGACTAGATGGAGTGACTATATCCGCAAAGCAGCGGGCAATGACTGGATGAGAGGAGCTGAAGACCAAGCTCAATGGCTTGCCAGAGGCCTAGGACCAGCAGTGGACTAATACGGGTTGAAGTTGATGTGGAAAAAAACTATAAAATAATGTTCAGTGTGGAACAAAATACAAGATTGAAGCGGTTTATCATCGATACTGATTTCAGGGTATCATCTGAAAATTAAGCTATTGATAAATTTAAGCTATTTATGTATTTAGAATGTGAAAGATTTATTTGCATTATTTGTCTTACCAAGAATAAGGTTTGATGTTATACACGAGTATGTAATAAAAATCATATTGATATAAAAATAGGTATTGTAATAGATGATATTTACAAAACTTTGTCTATAAATATCGCGTACGACCACTTAAGCAAAATGGTAGATTTTTTAACAAAATATATTTACAGTATTGCCTTAAATTGAAATTTAAATATTACAAAAAAGATTAATTTACCGTACAAACCATCAAGTGTACTTATTTTAAATGACAATGCTTCAAAAAGAACCCGAAGGGATGCAATAGAAGTACACACATTCATTTATCAATCAAAATACATAAAAAGGAGAGATTTGCACTCATGCATTTTTCAATCATGGACTCTGTGGTCAGACTTGAGACGGATGGAAAGTTTATTTACAAAAATATCTATATTAATATCTTCAGCAATTGTTATAATTCACTACCTATCTATTTATGATACTACGATTAAAGTGAGCTAGGTGCGAGTCCGACAATCAACTGAGCGCGAGCTGGCGCAGGCGGGGGCCTCGAGAGGCGACGGCGGCGGCGGGGGCGGCGGGGTAGCCTCCGTGCCCGCACTATGACTAGAGCTTGTCTGCGTAGCAGACGACGTCGGCCTATACTGCTGCTCCGTACGACCAACCTCGGACTTGTCGTCCTGACGTGCTTTATTCCCGAACAATTTGTTAATTGAATGTCTTTCTTTTTCCCTCTGCTTATTCCTATCATTAGAAATTAAAATAGCAAGCGGTGGAATCGGAGGAACATAAGCATGAGGTTCATAATTATCGTCCACATAGTCGTTTGGATTCCAAGCTGTCGTTGTAGGTTTCGTTGATGGAGTTCTTGTCGATTTTTCGGTTGTAGTAGCTCTTGATGTTACCGGTGATGTTGTAGTCACAGAATTTTCCAAAGTTGTATCAGATGACACTGTTATAGTGGAAGGAGCAGTAAAAATTTGTCTATATTTATTTGATCTAGTTTTACGTCGACTTTGAAGTTTTGGCACATCGAGAAAGAATGGATCGAATATTAAATCAGATTCTTTGTAATCATCATAGTTTATCGGTACTATGGGTTTCACCGCACTCACAACATTACCGACGGTATAGTTTAGTCTTTTTCCATTACTATCACTCACTGAGGCACTAGCGGTCACTATAACGCGAGGTGGACTTTTTGGTTTGTTTGTAGGTCGTTCAGTAACTATAGGTGGCGACACTGATCGTGCTGAAAGAGAGGATTTTTCTTCCGACGCTGCATCATCACTTCGTTTACGATCATAATAGAAGGGATTGAAGGGTAACGGCCTTTGAGCTGGCAAAGCCTTTAGGTACGTTTGTGGATTATGTTTTACTGCCGTTTCATGTCTTTCAGATGGTTGAAACGTAGGACCTGGTTTTAGAAGTTGATCTCTCGGATCTGATGTCGTTGGTCTAAATGGTGAAGGTTGAGGTCTCTGTGAAAATGGTGCGGGTCGAGAAACAACAGGTCGTGGTGCTGTTCTTGAAGATTCATATTGGAAGTGATCAAACTGCTGAGGTGGTGCATGAGTTATGTATACTCCATCTGCAGGACGGTAACTATGCCTTTGAAAGGATATTGCTTCTGATCCTGTACCCTGGTGGCGGTAGATAAATTCTTGTGGTGTAAGCAATGCCGGATCTAAAGTGGGCATAGGCGCTGCTGAAGGCGATAATGAAGAATATGCTGGTGAAGACAGTGATGAGAGAGCTGGGGATGGTGATGATAATAAATGTGGCGACGACGAGGGCCGTAGTGAAATTGTTGCAGGTGGCAGTGTTGTAGTTGGTGACTGCTTTATTGTGGTTGTTGCTGGTACTGTGGTTGTTGTGGGGGCTGCGGTCGTAGTTGTGGACTGAGAGTTAACATACTCATCTTCGTACTCAGCATTTTCGTCATCTTCTTGATATTCTGAAAACGAAACCATTTTGATTGGCAAATTGGTAGGAAAAATGTTAGATAATAATCTAAATTAGATAAGTGATGTAATTAGTATTAATTTGAAATAAAATTATTCTCACCTTCCGTTAGTTCATCATGTTCTATTAATGGTGGAGCTGCTGGGTTGGACTGAGCAGTTGATTGTTGTTTTTGATCGTCTTTTTTAATCTCCTGGATTGGATCTTCGGTAGAATCTGCAACTTCTGTTGAATGCCCCGGTACTCTATCAGTTACAGTGGTAGGTGAAATGCCTGTTGTCGGATCTATGCCTTGTCCATTACCAGGTTTAGTGTGCTGTTGTGTTTGTTCTGTTGAGTCGGCTTGAGGTTTATCTTGCTCAGGCTCTATTATTGGTGGGGCAGTACTCCCATATAATTCTAAATTTAAACTGTAAAACTTTTCAGACTTTGTACAATCTACTTCATCTACTCTTTCACACACTCTTGTCTCCTGAAACATATCAATTTCTATGTTAATACCGCTATGAACGAGAAGGTATGACCGCAGTATATACTTTCGAGGTTATTATTCTCTAGGCCCAAAATTCAAAAGTAGTAGCAGAATTATTATTATACTTTGTGAACAACGAAAAGGAGAGTCTTCCGTCTGGGTGATTGGCACATCAAATACTCAGTATATAGGTACAAGACGCAAGGACGGTTATGTGGATTAGTGCTTGTACCTCTGGTATTACTCTGCTAAGTATTTACTCCACTCTTGAAACAGGATGCAGTAACGCGCCAACCGCCTCATTAGCAATATAGAGGACTAATAACCTCAATTTTCTATATTTGCGCAGTGATGTTGTGGCATGCAGTTTTTTACCATCTATATTACAGGGGGTGATTATAGGATTTGTTTTTTTTATAGCCAGGTAGGCAAAGTCCAAACGAGAATATAGCTGGTACAGCAGTTATAAACTGCCACACCAACCATCCTCACCTTGCCGGCCTGCAAAAATGCTTCTTTACGTCTTTTTTAAGGGGCCCCGGATTGTAGGATGGTGTTCCCTAGGTGCGCGGGCAAAGAATTTAACTTGCGAATAGAACGACAAAGAAATGAGTCACCAAATTTCTTTGTTCGTGTAGGAATAGTGGCCACAGTAAGTCAGTGATATAGTAGGCCAGCGCGCGTGGTCTTCAGAAAAAAAGGTGATGGAGGGATAAGGGAGAATAACTCCTCATAACATTCGCCGTGGTATAGTCGTTAGAATGCGCTTAATAATGCCACATCGCAGCGTAATGGTCCCGAGTTTGTTAGTAACCTCTTCATCGCCAATGATGCGGGCAGCGCGCCGCTGCAACCTATCCAAGGCATAGAGAAGTACTTAGCGGAGACATCCCAGAGGTGCGAGCAATATTCCACGCAGGACCGCACTTGCGTTTTGTACTACAAGCACAGTTGATCAGGCGTTGTTTTCCTGGAAGGTAAACTGCTGCACTATTAGTCTGCACATATAAATTCTTCCATCACTTAACATTAGGTGGAGTGGTATTATTATTTACCTAGCTAATGAAAAATGGGCTCATGTGGTTTACAAATTAATCCTAAATTTTCGGTGAGTTCCTATTGAAGGGTGACGAAAGTATTGGTATATCATATCACGAACCTGATCAAAGACAGTGCCATTTAAGCACAGGAACTTGATATCCATAGGTTCATCCTGTTGACCGACAGTGCACACATGGAACATCTGGCAAGAGGTCTCCAGGTCGGCGTAATAACCTCCTATTACTTTCCCTGCACACGTGAAATTGGTTTCTGGTAGATTGTCGAAGTCCAAGTACTGTAAACGTGAAACATTATCATTATTATAAGACTTACTTGTATTAGTATCATATCAGTCAAATAACCTATCTTATAATTTTGGCCTCTGTAAAATGTTGAGAGTTGGTGATTTTTATCTACCCTCATGTCGAAATACTTTATAAACGCACATTTTCGCGCTTTCATAAAATAACTTTTTAATTATTAAAGTACACTTTTATCTTGTATGTTATTAAATTAGGCTATGGTATTAGGCTGAATGTGAAAAAAGACGCCCGCATGCGCAGTTTAAACTTGTGAAAAAAGACGAGCATGTATGCGTAGTTTAGACTTAATTTCCCGCGCTTCCCATAAAATTATCTGCCGATCATCAGACTCGTGTTTTAGTACCTCTTCTTATATGACAGTCGCGTAAGCAAATATTACTGACCCAAGTTATTCAGTTTTTGTGATTCAAGCGTTGAAAGACGGTTGATAACACCGTCTTTCAACGCTTGAATTACATAAAAAATCTATGTTGGATTAAGTAATTATTACGTTTGCTCAAGCACTACAGTGTACTTAGACATAGCGCTCATGCCCCTATTTGGTTTACGATCGTGGAAGTTCAGTAACTTTTGCAATGACTGGTAATAGGATGTTTGAACAAATTTTACTGTTACGAGCTTAGTTTGTCCTAGCTGAAATGAAATGAAATATCATTTATTCAGTCTAGGCTGTTACAAGCACTTGTGAAGGTCAAGAAGCTACGCCATACTGTAGCTGTTTCTGTAGTCGTTAGCACTCACCAATCCGCACAACACCCGTGGTTTGTCATGGCCCATTCTTTTCGATCCTTCCATAGGGAAAAGATGTCGCCCATGTGTGTGATGATTAATCGGCTGATGATGATCATTTCTTCGACAACCTCCGTGGTCGAGTGGTTTGTACGCCGGGTTTCATGATGTCACCGACTCGAGAGGTCCCGGGTTCGAATCCCGGTGTGGGCAGATATTTGTGTGATGAATACGAGCATTTGTACTCCAGTCATGGATGTTTAATATGTATTTCTATATAAATACACTTATATATGTACTGTATATGTATTCTATCCATTACCCTAGTATCCCATAACACAAGCCTTCACAGTGCTTACTTTGGGGCTAGGCTAATTGGTGTGAGTGTTGGAAATATTTATTTATTTCTCATTGATTCCATATTTTCGAAAAAAAAAATTTAATAATATCGACTATTAATTGACTTTTGTACTTTTAAATTAAAAGTTAAATATTCGTGTGGTTTTCTTGTTTTTAATAATATTAAAATTAGGTATCTAAAAACTAATTAAAAAAAAACTTACTCCTGGTTTTATACACCGTGATATTCGAAATTCATTTTGAAATATGAAGATCAGCAACCACAGCCATACTGAAATATGCAAATACATAATCTTTAAATAAACTTGAAACATGGTTGGCGGGATTTTGGTCGAAAAAGCCAAAGATCAATTATAAAAGTTTAGAAAATAGAAAAAGAGTAATCAAGTGGGGCCAGTTCCTCAATCTTTACTTCTAGTGTACTTTTAACATTTACAGAATCCCTTATTTCGCTCAGAATTCAGAGTGCTGCCTGCCAAAATACACTACTTTATCTACCTATATCTCTATCACTATTTATATATTAACGAGTTCTTGGAGAAACTAGGTTTCTTTAAATAAATTTGTAATTTAAAATATTTTTTATTGTGGTTTGGCACGCAGCATACCTTGGACATATACATAATGGTGCTTAACTTTATTAACTTATTAATATATACATTAAAAAAGATCGCAAACTACTAAAAATTTGTCACTCTGGTCTGTCCTGACACCAGTTTTGTAGAAAAAAAAATTAAATAACTTTTTTCTATAACCTAATGTTGACTGGAAATACGTTTATTGATTTAATAAATAATGTTGTTTTAATGAATTAAACTAATTTCGTGTAAATGCTCATAAGTTTTGCGTCAATACAAAAATAAGAAGTGTCCGACGTTTCTTATTGATTACTCTGAAACGACATTAAAATCGTTTGTATATCCCTAGTTAATGAAGCAGCTTCGTTCTCCCCCTCCGCTAGCTATTCTCTGTGTCGCGTTTTAAAAGCTTATGGGGGACGGTATGCCCTGCGTTCCTGCGTTTTCGATATAGAAAGATAAACAGTTGATCACTCTGGTTTTGGTTTGCAAAATTATTGATTGCTATGGTATATTATTATAAATTATAACTAAGTTGGTTGGTTAATTGATAAAATTATTTGTATTGATAATGTTAAAAAAATATAAAACTATGGAATTCTAAACCTAACTTTTACCAGTATTTTTGAGTGTTACTTTTTTTTACTGCTATGGCATTGAACGCTCGAGCCCTGGGCTGTGCCACGGGCGACCAGCGGGTCAGCCGTTTCTACGTGTCTCCCTGACCGGCGGGTCGATGCAATCTCTTGATTCGAAGGATGCCTCCCCTGGACTGGTTGTAGGCTGGTTTACCCCGAAACCCGCTCAAGGAGCACTTCACGAGTTTTACACCATGCACACGGTCGGTGGTAACTGGTAACTAACCAGGCGGGCGTTAAGCGCCCTACCACCAGTAGAGGATGAAAGCCGGGTTTTCTTAGTTAAAGGGGCAGTGAATAGTATTCTTTCTCCGTCACTGCACGAAAATTATAGATTTTAACTAAATATTCGCGTGTGACGCTCGTAGCGTTTCAGCCTTCGCTTTATTTAAATATCCTGTATATTTATTGGTCCAATTAGTAACGTCAACAATTTTTTTTTAGATTCCTGGGCGTATCCGAAAATACCCCATGTATGTTTCTTAGTTTTCGAGTTATACTTTTTTGTGTATTTTTAATGATTTCTGCCAGCGAGGTTTCAAAAATTCATATCGACTCATCCGTAGAACAGAGTCCGATATGCAGAATTGATAGTTTTCAGTAGAGGAGTTAGAAGTTCTTGACTTGTGTAACTCTTAAACGGCAAGAATTGACATTTCGATTTTTGGCATGTTGTTATTATATCACAGCGTAGTTAAATGCTCTATATTGTATATTTCTAAATAATTTACTTTACGATATAGTGAGTTCCATATCAACATAGGACGTTTTATAGCGTAAGAGCGGAGGTCCGTAGAAAACATTGAACGTTGTTTTACGGAAGAAGTGACGTGCTACATTAACATGAGTCGTTTTTTGTTGGAATTACCTATATTCAAAGGGTCTTATGTGTATGAGAAACTTAAGCATGTAAGCATAATATTAGTTTTACCTATCTCCCCATATTGCAAAATGAAAAAGTGAATTGTTATCTCAAATCGTTTATTAAAAATAAAAATCTCAATAGAACATTGGATGGAGTCATCTATAATAATAGCAACCATAAATCACAGCATTAATTAGCGTAGTCTGACCATCTATGTACCTATTAGAACAATGCACGAAGGTGCATATAGAATTATAATATATGCACTAATTACAAAATCAAAAATAACATTTTTCTTCTTAATAATTTTATTAATCAAATGAACGTTGAGGTTGTACATACTTAACAAAAATTAAATTGTACTTATACCTAGAACAAAACTAATAAGTAATTAAATGGCAAATCGTATCACAGTAGGTATGATCTTAAACTTATAGATGTGTTTTAATACTTATTGCAATAGTGGAAAAGTTTTGTATGACTACATTTGGACATAACACTAGGTACTTATTTCAAAATATACGATAAAACATACAGTCTTCATAATATGATCAATCAGTCTTACATCGCGGTTTAGCAGTGTGTGCACATAGGTAATAATTAAATCAATTAGGGGAACTTATAATTATTATGTGTTTTTCTAAATCAGCGGGCATTCAAGAAGCAATAAGCATTCAAGTCTAAAAAGAATAAACAAAAAGTAAAGAGCATAAGCAAGATGAGAATATCTTATTCTGACCGGTCATCATCTGATTCCTCAGAAACATCAACAGTGATATGATGTGGCAAAGAGTTAAAGTATTGATGATATTCTAATGGAATAACTCCTGAACTGCACATATCCATTAGATCCTTATATTTAGCAGCGGGAATCTTTATTGGTTCAGAATAGGCAGGTTTTAGTTCGGTTTGTGCCTCTAAAATATGATAATCAGGTTGAATCAGGTCGTATTTAAAAAACGATTTGTTGGCATCAATCCCATCTGCGTGAACTTCTCTTATGCTACTCCAGTAACGGCAAGAGTGTTGAGGAACATTATTTGGCATATTTCAATTTTCTCGCAGTGAGATTCGCTGGTGCCTGTAATGAGAGGGAGATAGTACTTAAAAGTAAACTTTCTATTATTAGGAGTATCTTGATTGAGGCTTCTTTTCTTCTTCATTTTATCGGAATATTTTATTATGAAATTCCATTGCTAGCTCGATCTCCCAGTTGCAAAAATTTTGTGAAGCAGTCCAATCTCTGTTGGTGAGATACTTTACCAGAACATTTGTAGCGGCACTTGCATGGCGGCCCCGTAGTTTTTTCATCCACGGCTTTTCCCTTCTTCCTTACATATATTTTACATAAGTTTTAAGGCATTTGCATTTAACATCTATTCATTCTTTTGGACGCCGCTGTCTTTTTCTGGTCACTTTAGGAGTCACTGTGTGGTTATTAAAGCATGAAGTAGCCGGCGAATTTGTAAGTGATGATGAAATAACAGAGGAGTCTACATGATTAGGGCAGAATACGCTATCGCAAGTTGAATGAAGGTTAGTAGGAGACGGCATAGGAGTTGGTACTGACAGTTCCAAATTAACCGGGGTAGATCTGTGGTGAGAAACCTCTAACTCTTCAAGCTGTATTAATGGTGAATTTTCGAAACTAGACGGCACTTCCAAAGGAAATGTACTAGGTTGATTGCTGTAAATATCGTTAACAGACTGAACAGACATGACATTCCGTATTGAGCTGTCGCAGATGATTTTCTTGCTCCCACCATCTTCCTGCAAAACTTCCTCCCATATATCAGCTAATTCTTGACTAATTTCTTCTGCACCAGGGGGTAAAGATGACAACATGCCGTTTTCTACAAAATTCACAACTGAAATAAAAAATAACTGTATTAGATATTAAATGTAATACTTTTTAAATGTATATTGCAATAATATGTACCTAGTAAGTAATTAAGCTAATTAAAAACAATATATCTTTATATTTAACGAAATTTTCAAATGAACAACGTCCTAACTAATCTCATTATCCCATTTACAACGTCCTATCTTAACATCAAACCATCAAATTGTATCATAGATTTCATAGAAAAACGTCCTATAGTAACATAAGACGCTTAGAAGTTCAATAATGTTCGTGTGAAATCGTCTTAACTTTTCATAAGACGTCTATTTTGCGTCTACTATTTAATGCATACTATAACAGAAAAAATGATTATCCTGTGCATACTCATTACGCAAATCGTATTTTTGCGCGCCTAAAATGGGTTCTACAAATCGTCGTCAAAAAATGTCCTATATAAATATAAATCGTCCACAACTGTTAACTAAGATAAAAAGCAATTATAGACAAAATGTAGGTTTATTTAGAAATTAAATAGTGTTAATCACGAAGTAATATCACTATAAATCGTATACTTACCAGTATCTACATTTTTATTTAAATATTCGGCATGAACATTTGAAAATGAATAACTAAGTTCGGGCTCTTCTGCACCTTCATTAAGCATTCTCAATATTTTCAGTGATCGCGACATCTCTAAAATTATGCTTTTTTTATTTTATTTTGCTTTCACATACAAAACACTTAATAAATTGATTTAATATTAAAAATCAAAAGAAGCTTAGCACGTGTCACAAAAACGCCCACTCTCCATTAAATAGTGGTCGAACTGACTTACGGACCGGACACTCGCGATGCCCCCGCACCGCGCGCACAGTCGCATGTACACTCCGTGCGTTGTAACGCGGACGAAATATCATATGGAACGTTATTCGATTCTATATTTCGAAAAGTTAATAAGATACGAAAATTCTAAAAACATACGTCGATAGATATTGTATTTCTAATCTCATTTAGCTATTAAAACAGGATTTGCTCTATAATCACATCGGACTCTGTTCTACGCATGAGTCGATATCTTTTTTTGTAGTAGGTATTTTGCAGTGTTTTTTGTTGTCTTGAATGTTGTTTTAATAAAAAAAGTAACTCAGCTTCCTGAAATTACTTAAAGTTACTCTAAAAAGGCTTCAAAGTTGGAACTTTAGTTTTTAGTAGGATTTACTCAAATATTTAACTTCAATCTAAAAATACAAAAAGGAGTTGTTGATGTCTCTAATTAAACCACCCCGTATATAGATAGAAAAAAATATAAATATTTTTTTTTCTAGTTCATTTATAGGTACAATACTGTGTCCAAAAAATAAGGTGACATTTGAATTTAAACTGCGCGCGTCGAAGGATTTAGAGAATTATTATTTTTTAGGTTGGTAGTACTGTTAGTGATATCTATTTCAAATTTCATGTCAAAATATTCATTAGTATTTGAGATACGCGTCGTTTTGTGAGCTGCTAAAAGTGAGTTTTTCGTTTTTTGCGATGTCAAAATTTATTGAGCAAAGAATTTGCATTAAATTTTGATTGCGGAATCCATTTTCTGCTGCGGATACGTTGAGGATGGTGCAGAAAACCTTTGGTGATGAGGCTATGTCTAAAAAAAATGGTTACAAGTGCGATAATGATTTCAAGCCGGCCGTGAACGTGTCGAAGACGAAGAGCGTCCTGGGCGACCATCAACCGCAACCGACGAAGCTCACGTCCAACAAATCAAAGATTTGGTGTTGAAAAACCGTCGATTAACGATTAGAGACATTGTTGATGAAGTTGGCATATCGAAAGCCTCACTCTATACCATTTTGAAGGATGTTCTCGACTGGTACCTAAAACATTGATTTTTTTTTAAAAAAAGGCGTCGCGTTGAAGTGTGTGAAACAATACTTTACGACTAACAGTCATGAAAGGCATTATAACGGGCGATGAGACTTGGATCTATGCTTACTACTCCGAAACAACCCATCAATCGAGCGAATATCGTGCCAAAGGAGAGCCGAGACCAAAAAAAACCGCGCCAAAGTCGCTCAAAAACCAGGTCATGTTGTCTGTTTGTCTTTGATTATCGTGGTGTTGTGCATTATGAATTCCCTCCATCCGGCCAAACAGTCAACAAGGAATATTATTTGAACGTTATGCGTCGTTTGCGTAACGCTAGCTACCTAAAAAGGCCGGCATTGTGGAAAGACAATTCTTGGTTTTTACACCACGATAGTCCCATACCGTACCGCACTCGTAATTCGTGATCAATTCGCCAAAATGATGACGATATGGGTTGAGTACCCATATCATTCCGCAACCACCGTATTCACCTGATCTGGCGTCGTGCGACTTCTGTTTGTTCAACAAGTTCAAAAGACCGCTCCGGGGACACACTGTAAAGCCCGCTCGCGGACGTAAAATTTCTTCCGTTTACACATGTTCTACGTAATCTACCCTGGATGTATGGGACATTAAATAATCCTTTATGTCATCCGATTCATCATCCAAAAAAATTCTATTTATGTGTTTTTTTTGTCATAAATATAGTGTTTACCTTGCAGGGCAGAGGCGGAGCGCACGACGAGCGCGCCGCCGGCTTTTATCCGAGCTTGCCGCCGCATCTGAAAATTATAATTTAAAATGTAAGTATTATATTTTATTGTTATTTTGAGCAGAAAACTTCTGGCTTTAAATATCTAAAGAAAATCTTATTAGAAAAAGTCTACTCGGTCCAGGTCCGCACGGAAAGCGCAAGGCGTAGGTTCGAGTCCTGTATGATGCTTGGACAAAGTGGATTTTTTTCTAGTTTTTTTTTCTTAAGGCTTAACATTTTAAAGTGAAAAATTGCTACTGCGATATATCGTGTTACATTTAAACATCCTCCTCACATAATCATTACAGGGTTAACATATAACTCTTAGCGTTCAACGACGCGACAGCGTCACATTTGGTATTTTTCAGAATACAATTTTGGGCTTATGCCACCTGGAAAAAGTGAATAGCCCTGTCCGTTGATAGGCTTTTACTATCTACTTGGGAAAGTTCACAGCTGGCGCAATCTACCTTTTTCTTGTAAAGAGGCATTGACCATATATTTTATTTTAATAATTTTTTACTATATAGGTACTGAAATATTTAAAAATATTTGCGAAATAACGAAATTATCGTGAATTTATCGATTTTCGAAATAGTTGCGTTCGGTGCATCACCATAACCAAATTTGCAAAAAATCAGAAGTACAGGTTTCTACGCATACTCTGTAGTTTAAATTTTACTGGACCATTTATCAAGACGAGGTTTACGATTTTAGAGCGGTATTCAAATTGTACTTATCTTTATAGCTACATTATTTTGTTATAAACAAATCGAGTTATTTATTTGAAAGCTAAAGTGACTGTTTATATTGGAGTAACAAAATCTTGCTTGACCTCTTTTCCATTAGGCTGAGTATAAGAGATAGTACTCGTATAACAGATAGATAAATTGTACATAGATAATTATGTTATTTTCTTAGTGCTAATTATGAGGTCTGATCGACAAAACATTAAAAATGTTCCACGGCACACATTTTTAATAAGGTGATGTATCAAACAACGATACAAAGCACACAATGACCGGGTCAAGCGGTTCGCACGAGTATCACAACAATGGATTACGCCACTTACAATTAAACATCCACAATGAATTGTTCCGATATACCTCATATAAATTTCATAATAACAATAAAACTGTGGAGAACGCTCTACTTTATTTTTGTATAAGGAAGCACAGTAACTATGTTAAAAAAACAACGAATTAATTTTCTAGTATATCTATTGTACCTAATTAGGATTTTTGTCAAAATCGCACGGTTGTATTTCACCTCTTACATTTCGATGCGAGGCTATATTATATGATTTCAGTTAATTTTTTGTCGCGATAGTAGATGGAATTATCCGAACAATTCCTTAAAACACTCCTCGTAACAAATGCGATAGAAGATGCAGAGCAAAGCTACAAAACACATAACGCCAAAGGATCAAGCTGATCGCAAATGTCTTGGTCGTCGAAGAGTTTGATCCCTTGGGCGCTGGTAATCCACGTGAGTTTTGCGTTGTAAAGCGTTATATAGAGATCCATATAACGCTTTACAATGCAATCTAGATAGATTCGACCGCATTTGTATTCTGTAAACTAGCTTTATTAAACAGTCGATTTAGACAGAAAAACAAGAGTGTAAGTACATAAATTTACATCAACCTGGAAGCGAGTAAAATTGTTCAAAACATAATTAAAAATAACATTTCAATATACCTCATCGTCAAAGGTCAAAAAAGTGGGTTTTTTGCGATTTTCATCAAAATGGTTAGTTTTATCGTAAAATTGCCTCAGACAAAAATTGTAGATAAAATTATCTTTAAAAAAGGTATCATTGTTTTTTAATATATAGGTATACTAGCTGTCCCAGCGAACTTCGTACCGTCAAAAAATAGGGGTTGGTGGTATGTACGAATTGTCAAGGACAGTCGTGCTCTAATGTTGAATCACCAACAGTAGAGGATTGGTTTGCTACCAAAATTAATCTTAATCTGAATCTTAAGATTCATGCAATACATCGTTATTGACGCAATTCACTTAAAATCAGGATGATGAAGAAGAAGAAGATCAAGAAAAAGAACAAGAAGAAGAAGTAATTTAAAGATTATGAATCAGACGAATAAAATTTTGTATTGATTTTTAAAATTTCCATCGCTTTTGTCAATTCCAACCCTTCCTTATTTAAGTAATTAATCAATAGTTTGTAATTAAACAAAATCACACCTGACCTGTAGAATAGGCCTACTAGGGAAACCACGTTAAAAAAAACGCACTAAGTACCTCAGAGGTGGCGTAGAAACGTGTGGATATGATGACGCTCACAAATTTTTGAATCGTTATATCTAAAGAACGGTGGCTCTTAGGAAAAAATATTGATACATTTTTAAAGATAATTTTATGATCTACAATTTTTGATTACAGTAATTTTACAATAAAAGTTACCGTTTTAATGAAAAATGCGAAAAACCCACTTTTTTTACCTTTGACCTATAGCCGTTTTTTCCAAGTACTTATCGGAACAATTAGGAATTTTGAAATGTTATTTTTAATTAGATTTTGAACAATTTTACTCACTTCCAGCTTGATGTAAATTTATGTACCTTTGAATGTCTAGATTGACCGTGACACTCTGCTGAGTCTCCAAATTATACATGAAATCGTACTAAATCACTCTACAAAAAATATCTAGCCTTTGAAGATTAGTGTCTCTATAACAGATTTAATATTTATGTAGAGTTATACCTCCGTAAACTAAATGGCGCCTTAACGCAAATACATGTTACAATTGATGAAAAAAATTGTTTTATTTTTATTAGTAAACTGTAAGTAGTACATTTTCGAAATAATTAGGGAGCTCCATCTCTCAAAATACAAGAAGATATACTAAGCAACAATGAATTATTTACAAAGAATATTGTGGTATTCTATATAACGAAGACGCTGTTTTCGTAGCTTATAATCAAAACTATAATTGTATAACAATGTTTAATTTTTATAATTGAAAAATATAGATAGGATCATTTTATAAAACGCCTCTTACACGAAAACCGATTGACCTATACGTGAAAGTACGAGTTATAGACCGAGTTAAAGTGTGATTTGCCTTTCATAATATTAATAATCGCTATTGTATAATATCATGCACGATTTATGTCTAATTTAGAAAGTGTATTGAAGTTTTATTAATCCCTTTCTTTAATGTTTCTATTATAGCGATGTAATTTAACTTATCCATTGATCCAGTTACATTTTTACCATTGGTACTCACATCCGCTATTGCGATATCAATAAAAACATTCCTTAAAAATTTTATAGGTTCTATTGTTGATAATATTTCTTAGTTCGAATAGCTGAAGGGGGTAAAGATAACAGTCAATAGGTGCCTATTTAATAATCAATGCCTTGAGTCCCATTGCGGCAAGAACATAATAGTGTTGAATGTAATCTGATATCGTGAAAGTTGTTGCAATGGTTGTGTCAGATTGTCCTAGGGCGTGGTTTCCTCGACGTAAGACGACGGCCAGTGGACCGGCGCGAAACTGGAGCAGAACCGCCGATACCAAGTAACGATGTGCGCACACGCAACCAAACAACGCTCCACTTCTTAACTCTACCAATGAAACCTACCTGAAATAGATATTATTTAGCCTCATTTCCCTATACTTGCAAGATTGGTAGGAAAATAAAAATTCTGCAACGTTTAATTACTGCATTTAAGCCTTTTCGTTAAGGATTGTTTCTATCCAAGTGTTTCGTTTAAATAGATTTGGTCGCTGTGTGCGTTGCTGCGCCTTGTCACATGAGTTCATTTTTTTTCAGTGCCTCCCGCATACTTTTGTTCTGTCCTGTTCCTCTGTGTTCCTGGTTGTTCGGGGAACTTTTTGCATGGGTAATTTTTAATACCTCGTGTGCTTTACTCGATGCAGTTGAAAGCGATCTATTTTGGCGGAAAAAAATATCCGCGGACAAAAGTCCCTCGTCTGCGCAGACTATTAACGTAACTTTCTATTGGTAAAAGAATTTTTAAACTCCGTTCAGTAGATCCAGAGATTAATCCATGCAACGTCACTTACTCACAACGTCACAAACTTTAGCTTTTTATAATATTAAGTATAGATTACGACATTTTGTCGAGTGAGGCTTACTTCGAACGATTAGTATGTTGATGAATTCCATTGCGCCATGTCCTGTGCAGTAATTAGTGCAGATATTGCTTTTTGCACAACTAAGTTTCCAATAAAAAATACGGAATGTTGTGAGCGATCTAAATATTATAAAATTTACATACATAAATACCACCAAGGAATTCCAAAGTGTCCAAGTCATATTGGCAATTGGTATCATAAATTTACACCTAAAAATCACTTTAGATTAAGCATTGTGTGGGTTACGTCGTCTTTATTCATTTTTTAAAAGTATTATCTAAAGCTGTTAAAGAAAATACAAGCTTTTGTAAATTTGTTTTTCTTTTCAAAGTATCTATGTATGTATAAAAGTATAACAGAATATTACGATATTTTATCAAAAGCTTTTTATTTAATTTACTTGATTTGACGATTGACTTGACCTTTACAATTTTGTCTTTGAAGATGGTAATAGGAGTCGTTAATAATATGCTCTAATCATGAACAATTAAATTACGTAATATAGGCGGAGGCTTTAAGATCCAATTTTAATTCTAGATATATCACATTTTATGATTGTACATGACATAGTGTTCCATTTATCCTATAATTAGATTGTCTGAACGATCCTTCTTATATAACCTCATCATTCTATTGGTTTCATAAAAGAATAGTTAGTATGTAATAAAGCTATATAACAATTATTGGGTTATGGATGATTAATCATTACGCATGTTTTATGGATCATTCATCATGATGCTCTTCTTAGTTGTGTAATGTAGAAAGCTATAAAGCTATTTTATTTGTAGAATTTTATAAAACAAATATTTTGGTTGGAATGGAATTTTATGTTAAATAAAACCAATAAAAATAAATCAATACAAGAAGAATGATAGATAGATAGACACTCTTAATCATTT